TACATTCCCTTTTGAATGATCTATTTTCCCATTGATTCTTCTATACAATTTCTCAACGAATGTTATCAACTGAATTAAATTAACACAATGTCAAAAATTAAATAGGCAAAATTAAACCCCCAAAAACGGCGGTAATATAGGACCAAAAACAGCGGTTTTTTACCGCCGTAAATAGGTTCAAATTTTTCAAAAAATAATTCTTTCTTCTTGCACTCCCCAAGTTTTGAACCCAAGACCTCTCATCCACCAATACCAACCACTCTGCCACAGCCACTCTTCATGAAATATATTCCCTAAATAAATATTTAAACATTACTTTTACTTTATTGTAGATGGTTTCGCCGGAGCTCGCCGGAGTTTCGCCGGAGCACGTCGGAGTTTTGCCGGAGCTCCGCCGGCAAAGACCGCCGTCATTAACGGCGGTAATGATTGGGCATTAGCGGCGGTTTTGTTACCGCAACCGCCGTTAATGATAGGGGTGTGCAAATAAAAGCTCCCCCCTCCCTTCCATCTCTCTGTCTCTCTCTCTCTCTCTTATGAGATATTATTGGGAAACAATTTAATTATTGCAGTTCTAATTACATCAACTTTTCCCCGCATTTTTTTTTTGTCCATATTGTATCAATTTAATTCAATTGCTAATATCTTTTGGAAATTAGATTGAAATTAATAAACAAAATAGTCTATTATCTTGCAAGTGATTGAAGGGTTAGTATCCAATTTAAAATAGTACATTCCCTTTTGAATGATCTATTTTCCCATTGATTCTTCTATACAATTTCTAAACGAATGTTATCAATTGAATTAAATTAATACAATGTTAAAAATTAAATAGGCAAAATTAAACCCAAGAAATGAATTACATGGACCGCAAATATAATTTGTCTTATAATTTGGTCCCTATTTTTCATAAGGTAGCCAGCTTGTATGCATATATATATAATTTGTCTTATAATTTGTGCAAAACACCTTTCATAAGGTCCCTATAATCGGTATGTATCTATTTTCAAATAATTATCTAGTATGTATCGGATAAAAAATTATATATGTATTCAGAAATTGGTCAGAATAAAATCCCCTAAACCCTAATTAAAAGGAAAATTACATAGGCATCAAATTAATGGATAGATAGGATTATAGGGCTGGGAAAAAGTTGAAATAATAGGGGGATAGTAGTGCTTTTAATCTTTTTCAACATCTATACCAAAATTAAGCACAACTGATAACCAAGTATTATGAAAGGTGTTTTGCACTCTTTGAACAGGTATGCAATTAATGGACATTAAATCTCCTATGGTTTTAAGATAATGATTCCTTTTCATGACTGAGAGATGGTCCCAAGAGTCAGCAATTAGAAAGGCCATTTGTGAGGTACCCCCTCTTCTCTTGTTGTTGTTGTCAACAAATGTGAGTGAGTGAATGTGTGAGTGTGTGCTTGATCTCTTGGTCATATTAATTGGAATATATACTTAGCCATGTCTTATCAGTTGTAGAAAGAAAGTGACACCCCCACCCTCAAAAAAATATCTGCAAATTAAACTTTGTTGATTAAGAGGCTCCATTGTCTCTGGTTGGCTTGGTCAATTGGACTGTCTAGCTTAACTTATATGGGTCAATTTTAGGTTTATCTTGAGGATCTAAATTGTTTATTTTATGAGGTTCTCTAAGAAGATCATTTGTACCAAAAATCAATTTGATTGAATGTCACTAAACACTTGATCGGATCTCACTAGACTCTTGAACATTGTTAATTATTTTTTAAACAAATGAAATCTGATCAAATGATTAATAATATTCGATCAAGTTAACTTTTACTATGAATGATCTACTTGATAAACTTAACAAAATTAATTATTCAAATTGTTGAGATGACCCAAAATAAGTCCACATTAGACTATAAACTGGATTGGTCCAATAGGCTTGTTTAGTCTCGTTGATTAATCCCTAGAAAAGTAATCACGCATGGGTATGAGGAAAGATCAAATCAAAGTGACTAATTTAAGTTCTAATACAATAATATTACATTTACTACATTTTTTATATCATAATATACTTATCATCTTATTTATTGATGAAACATTAATTAGTTTAATAGATCCCATTAAACATGTATGTTTGTAGTACTAACAATTGAATTGACATATCAAATAATAACATAAGATGATAGAAATAGAATATTATTGTAATATTACTCTGTTTAATAGTAACACCATTAGTACTTTCTCTACTAGTATAAACCCATTTTCTATGGCTAACTTTTACACGATTTATTAATTGTTCCTTCGGTTTTTTTTCCCTTTATTTTTTTTTTTAAAGAACGACTTAGTCTAATCATAAAAGTTTGTTGTTGGATTTTTAGTGGTGCAGATTCAAGTATAATTAGAAGAAAAATGTCAATTTATATTATAAATTTAAATTTTAAACACTTTTTGAAAAATGTTTATGCCAATTGATTATGTGCCAGATTTTTTTACACATTGCTATGCACTTAGCTGATCCCAGTTGATGGTGATACAAAACTTAATTTAATTTGATTTGATTTGATTTGATTATGTACATTGCCGATCCACTTCAATTATTCCATTATTATTACCGTATACTTCTCTCTAATTTCCATTTAAGGATATTTATACGTATGCATGTCTTTGTGTATTTGTATTGAAAGTAAGAGAAATGGTAAAAATATATGCAAATTGAAAAGATAAGAACTAATTCTATTTCAAGAGTAGAAACAATTAATATTGACCTTGCTAACACTTGCAACCCAATTTCATTACATAGTTGATGAATAATGATGATAATTACTGAGATGTTTACAGTGGTAAACATGTTTTATTCTATCCAATAATGATCAATTGGCTACTTAGCACAATACTCGTTATTCTAGTCTTTTTGTTAATAGGATTCATAATTAAAATAGGGTAAATTATAATTACACTTAATTTCACTTTTATTCTTTAATTTTCAATTGTAATAATCAATCCTTTATACTTTCAGCTAAGTTGCAATGCAACCATTTGGTTATTGTGCTGTTGAATTAGCTCATAAAAATTGTCATATACTTTCATTTTCCCATATTTTTCTCTATCCCTTTACTCTATTTTCTTTTTCTTGTTTTAACAATATTTTTTAGACCACCACCATTGAACAACCCTTTCCCGCCACTTCCGTCCCTTCCCTTCCCTTCCCCACCTCTATATGGCCACTGTCCACCTCTTCCCACCATTCCATGCATTGGTGGTGACGAGAGATAAGGAGCCAGTGGGAAACAGATAGTGGGATAAGGGTAGCCAATGGCCATGGGTGGTGAGAAGGAGTGGGGGATTTTAGAAAAGAGTGGTAGAGTGGCAGAGAAGAGGTAGGAGAGTGGTGTAGAGAGAAAATTGAAAAAGAAAATGAGTTAAGAGAAGAGAAAAACAAGAAAAATGAAAAAAAATGATGTTTTTGCTTCAAAAAAATGCCTTAGGTTAGGATCACATGACAATTTACGTTAGTAATTTTACCCCACATGATGTCACATTATAATTTGAACAAAAGTCCAAGAAATTGATTGTAAAAAAATAAAAACTAAAGTAGGATTTAATATGAAATGGAAGGGTACAAAACGTAATTTACTTTTTAAAATATGAGTAGTGTTGCAATGACCAAATTTTTATGTTAAATTTATCTATTATTTGATATCTCATCACTAAATTGATATAATGGACTCCACCTTCCGTGCATTGTTATACGGATGACATATAACATGTGATGAAAACACATTTACAAAATTAAAAAATTTGGTCATTTTAACATTAAAACATTCTTATGTTGATAAATAAAGATCACTTTATTCTTTTAGAAGTTGAAAGATAAACTTTTTAAATACTCCAATCTAATTTCGCTTAATTCTCTACAATATTCCAAGTTTTGCTTTACAATATGGAGATTCACACACCATTAATGGCTGCCAAAAAATTTTATTTTATTTTATTTTTGTATGAAATTGGTTATTACAAGCTTCAATTTGAGTAATCACTATTAAAAATAGTGCACATGGTAAAGACTAAGCAGGAAAGGAAGATGGAGATAATTGAAAGATGGAAGATTCTTACCTTCCTAGGTTTTTTTTTTTTTTTTTTGGCGGTTACAGAAAAAAAGGTCTCTATTAAATTGTAAAGAAGCCAAAAAAACAACCCATACTTTGCTGTCTTGGAGATACAAGTATGATTTAAGAACAAAGATTTGCATATCTCTTGGCAAGACTTTGAGTTAGTTAGTAAACAAAAATGACAAAAACAAAATCAACACACCATATTTATATTTATTTTTACTAAAAATGAAAATAAAAATATGTTTAATACATTTTGAAAACAAGTGAGGAGAATGGTCCAATGCGTTGGGCGGGCATAGGTGATCATAGAATGTGATTGTAGATGGTGGGGGAGGAAATGTTGTCCTTTTTTTAAAAGAAATTTTTACAAAACCGTCTTGTTTTCAGATAAAGGTGGATTGGTAGACAAAATAAGTCGTGGGATATGATGTGTTTATTTTAATAGTTTATTCAAGAATTAGAAAGGAGTTTGAAAAAGAGCATGGATCCTCTAGAGTTTTTTTTTTTTTTAGAGTTTTCTAGAGTGGTATGTTGTATGGTTGAGATTTAATGACAAGTCACATTAATTTTTTAGCATTAAATTTCACCCATACAACACACCACTTTAGGAAACTTCAGGGAAAAAAAACTCTAGAGGATCCTTGCTGATTGAAAAAATTCAAGACTTGCCGAAGGTCAAGACAAGAGCCGGTGGGAGTGAGAGGGGGAAATGAAAAAAAATGTTCACAAAATGAGGTAAACACCTTACTTTTTATTTTATTTTATTTTTGAAAAAAAAAAAAACATAAACAAAAAATTATGAATATAAATATTACCAACCATAAGTTCCTTATTCTGTATTCATGTACTTCTGTATAAAACTGATAATTATATATATATATATATATATAAATAATCCAATCCAAGCTTCTACAAACTAATGGACTGTATTATATTGATCAATATATAACATCTTTGCAAATATATACCTGACAGCAGAGACTTCATAACATTGCTTATCAAATTACTAATGTATAGCTCTGCATTACAATTCATACCCACCACCCAAAACTGATCTAAGAATACCAATTCAACCCCGTAAACTGATATTGTTGTCGAAAAACCCCCTCACCGAGCGAACCCATCACTGTCTGTTGAGTTTGTGGAAGCTGACTAAGCAGAGTAGCGATGGAGCTGTTGTTATGATCATCATTCTTCACCACTACACTTACATCTTCTTGAAACCTCTTTGCTGCCTCGCTTTCATCGTCGTCGTCGTTCCAGTAAAGGGAAGGGAGGGTTCTTTTCAGGTGAGGTAGGGTGTTAGAGGTTGTGGTGGTCACCATTAATGGAAGCTGTGGCTTTGAACCAATGTTGTTATTGTTGTTGTTGATAGTGTCTGTGACTATTATGTTTTCGAATAAGCTTTGATCGTTTTCGAGCATTGTGGCGTAGTTTGTGGGTTTCATCGGCGGTGGTTTTGGTTGGTGGTGGTGTTGGGCTGCTGCTGGAATTGAAGGTGGTATTGATGATGCAAGGATGTCGGTTATGGAGTCTTCTCTTTCTTGATCCAATGGTCTTGGTGGGTTGTTTTTCTTGTAGATTCGACATAGCACCCAATCATCAAGCTATAAACCAATCAAACAAGTCATTATTAATTAGTTTACATGATATGTACACAAAAATAAAGTTAAAAAATAAAGAAGAATAGTATACGTTAAATCAATAGTCATCCGTACATAGAGAAAAAAAAAAATACTAGAGAAAAGTGTTTACAATTCAATAGGTTGATCAAATCTTATGTCAGAAATTCAAATATTTTTATAAATATTTTATGGAAGGACGTACCATTTATAATATTTAATATCATTGATTTTTATAAATATCAACGAGATGTTCTATGCTATGTTTGATTGATTCTAAACAAAGAATTAACTATATGAGTATGGATTGAGGCAATGATATAAAATCATGACAAACAAGCTAAGGATTTTTTATTTTTTATTTTTTGTCCACATATACTAATTTACTTTCAATTATTAAATTATATCAAAATTTTAAAAAAGGTGAGCTAAAACATAATTCAATAGTTAAGAATATATTGAGACAATAGAATTGAAAGATATGGGAATAGAAATCTGTGTCTCTCATATACCATGTTCGACAAAAAAAAAAAGGCCATGTAAAGTATATAATAGTATTCATTTAATCAAGACTAATAAATCAACCAATAATTACCCGTAGGGAGCCTTTCTTGTGGGTCGGGTCACAACCCGGTGGCCTTGAGCTGGTTTTGTTGTCAACAAGCCTATACTCATGCATGATCCAATTGGTTTTGATCCCTTTTGGAGGCTTTCCTCCATAGAAAACGAGTGCTTTCTTCACCCCAACCTTCTGAGTTCCCCCTGAGGTCAATACAGGCTTATCTGTCCCAGTTGCCTTCCAGTACCCGGATGTCGCCGCCCGGTTTGGCCTCGCCCCGTTCGGGTACTTCCGGTCCCTTGGACTGAAAAAATACCACTCTTGTTCCCCAAACGTGGCCTTAGCTGAAAAAAATAATTCATACCAACCCATTATTAGAACTGTGCCGGATGGTGTGCAGAACTAGTCTGAATAACTTGAGCTTCCGAATAGCTTTTGAAATCTGAAAGCTCAAATTAACCAGACTAGTTCTAGTTACTATCAGTTTGACACCGATGATCAAATAATTAAGGTGTACGTACATATACGTTATCAGATGAATTTCATCGATATTTTTTGGGGGTACTTACCGGGGAGCTCCCATGGATCGAACTTGTAGAGATCGATTTCAGCGATGATTGAGACGGGAAGAGGAGCGGAGGCTGCTTTCTTCTTGAGGTAGTGAACCACCAATTCTTCGTCGGTGGGATGGAAGCGAAAGCCCGGTGGGAGGTTCGGGTGGTGCAACCCCGTCGACGAATCGGTGCTCTCCATAGGTGGATTTTTCAGATTAGAACTGTTGATTGTTTTTGAATTTGAAAGATTCAAGCTTTGGTTTGGAGGCTGGAAATTGGTCGGAAAAGAGCATGGTGTGGTTATATATATATGGTTGGTTAGAGAGAGCTGGAAATGTTAAGGAGGAGAGAGGTGGTAAAAACCATCTTTTTATATGGTTAGATGGGGTGGGGACTATGGGATTGTCATGGACCAGCAGCATTTTTTTTTTTTTTTGGGGGGTGTGTGAAATTATCGATACATTTATTGAAATTTGTTTAAAATATAAATTATCTTTTATAATTTTAAAAATTATATTCCGTATTTTCAAAATTCTAATTACATAACAGATGAGTCATTTTATTCCTGAATTATTAAGTTAATTAATAGTTTGTAATTATGTTATAAATTTATTTTAATCAACAATTCTGATAATTTTACTGTTATACATGAGAGTAATTAGGAATTTTATTTTTTAATTAATTTTGTTAAATAAAAAATTTTGACAATGAAAAATTTGTAATTTTTAGAAACATAAAGAATAATTCGTATTTTAAGTAAATTTTAAAAAAATGTGTTTATAATTTACCATTATTATCATTACCTTTTTATAGTATGGACCAGCACTTTTAATTCAGTACAATCCAATTTGTGCATGGATTTAAAGTGCCAACAGCTACAGATTAGGGTCTTCAATTAAAATCAATTATAAATACATAGGGCTGTAATTTATTTTACTTATTTTTGGTGTGTGTAGAAAAACACAGAAGAAATTGCATTCCACAAAGATTTTTACCTTTTTGTAATTATTTGTCTTACCTTTCGTTGATTTTTAATTTCTCTTTGAAATAAAAATTTAAAAAAAATAAAAATTATTGCACCAATAAAATTTGTGCATTTATTTTACTAATGCCCAAAGATTGTAAGCCACATAATAAAATGAAAGGACTGATATGAATTTGGGATTCCGCGTATTTATTTGGTTGTGGAGCCACTAAAAAATATGGGTTTAGAGTAGTTGCTGTGCATGGTACTTAGCACTTGTTATTGTGCAGTTAAATAGGTTTATTTTGGAATTCATTTTGATAATTTAAATCGTTCCTATTTTAAAATATATTAAGTAAAATATATTTAAAAAAAATTAAGTTAATCAGATATCGGTTACTTATTCATCCACTCATATTTGTATATACAAAAATAAATAATAATTGTGATTTAAAGTATTAAAAAGTACAAAAATAAATAACAATTGTGATTTAAAATATTAAAATGAATATAAATGTGAGTGGATGAATAGGTAAACGATATCTGATTAACTTGATTTTTTACAGATATATTCTATTTGATGTATTATAAAAGGTGAACGGTTCAGATTATCGAAATGAGCCTCCTAAATAGGCCAATTTAGCTGCACAACAGTGATTGTTGTGCATCCCCGCACAGCAACCACCCAAAATCCACTAAACACATCCTGATTTTCCAAACATATTGTCCGACACTTCAACCTTGATTTTATAGTTAATTATTTAAAAGTCTTATTTATAAATATTATAATAGTTTAGGTCTTATCTAAGATTTTTTGAATCAATAAGTCCTATTTAGTAATATTGAGAATATTATCAATTTTTTTTTTTTAATTTTTAAAATTAAGAACATTATCAATTTTGCATAGTAATGTTTCATATAATTGTTTCACTAACTGATAGAAAAAATAGAGCATGAGATATTAAACGTTTTTGCCCTTCTACTTATTAGTTTGATTCAACTATCCAACAAAAAATTGAGAACATTATCAGTTTTGCCAGTTTTAAAACTGAGAACATTATCATCTTTTTTATTTTTAAATTTTTAAAATTTAATTTGTAGTTTTGCATATCAATATTCCATCATCATCCACTTTTATAGATACAAAATTTTTAGTTTTGCATAAAAAAAATAATTCAATTGTTTCAAAAAAAAAAAATCTCAACTTGTTTGGTTCTGGTTTTAGAAAACAATTTTTCAGAAAATTTTACTATTTATTTTCCATATTTTCATTTTTTCATGAATTTTTTTAATAATTTAAGTAATTTTTTAAAATTTTTAGATATACCTAATATAAATACACTTAAAAAGTATAATATTTGTGATAAAAATATTTTAAAAATACACTAAATACCAAAACATATATAACTTCAATACGTTTTTAGTATTTTTGTGTATTTATTAATTTTTTAAAATATTTTTTCATAAATATTTTACTATTTATATACATCTAAGTAAGGTGCATCTAAAAAAGTAAAAAAAAAAAATTACTTAAAATTTAAAATATTCACTAAAAAAAAATTACGAAAAGCAAAAAAGACGATTTTCAGAAAACTGAAACCAAAAGTATAGTTTTTTTTTTTCACATAATTTTTTTTTTTTGGTTTTTTCAATTTGAAAGTTTCTATTTTAAAATTTCGAAAATCAAAATAAATGTCAAATCATCATATTCCTTTATAGATAATCATAAATGATGAACAATCATTGTTTGAAGGGTAATTCAAACTATTAAAAATTTAATGGGACCTGAAAGTTAAAAAAATCTTAATTAAGACTTAATGAAGTATAAATTCATAAATTAGGACTTGTGTGTAAATGTTTCTTGATTTTATATGTGTATATATATACAAGAATTTTAAGAATTAAATTTTTTTTCGTCTCTAATAAAATTTTTACAGCAAAAAATATTAGAGGACTAATTTGTATAGTTTCTAAAAGGTCATCTTGAAAAGGTTAAAAAAAAAAACTTTTAATCTCCGTTTGTTTCAACATAAAATATTTTATACAAAAAAAAATTTTCTTCTAAATTAATTTTTCATAAAAAAATATTTTTGTTTTTGTTTTGTTTTTGAACGTTTGGTTGACACTTGAAATAAATTTTAAAAAAAATTATTGCCTAAATGAGAAATTTTGATTCAATAAAATATTATTTATGACTTTTTAGTAAGCTAAGATACTTATTTGAAAATGTAGTGAATGAGAATCCACCTTGTAAAAATTGACTTATGAAATTTTTAAAAGTAAGTCATTTTTTAGAAAATGATGCAAAAATGTTTTACTTACTTTTTGTTCAACCAAACAACAAAAAATGAGTAGAATATTTAAGCCAAAACAAACGGAGCCTTGACAACAAAATTTTGAAAATATCACTAACAAATGCCTTTTTAGGAATAAAATAATCTTTTGCAAAAAAAAAATTTACTTTTTTGAACAAAAAATTTAATTCTAAAAAAATAGTAATTTATCGCTAAATGTCCAATTTCATTGCAAAAAATTCAACAATAACACTTTCAACTATTAAAATATTTGATCCATACAACAATAACAGTTTCTAAAATATTAATTTATTGTAATGTATCATTACACTTTTATGATAATGGAAAGATTATGGTACATAACCTTCCAAGAATGTATACCGTACGCACCTTATAATTAAAAAAGAAATTGACATAATTTTATACTTTTTGAGTCATAATTACATTTAAAAAAAAAAAAAATCCACAACCAAATAGCACGTGAGACATAACAAAAAATATCATGAGTCATAACTAAAATAATATCATAACTAAAGAAGAAAATTGATCATAACTAAAGAAGAAAATAACATAACTTAAGGGTGCATATAGTAAGGAGTGTGTATAGTAGAATTTCCCTTACGATAAACTATGAAGGGGGGAACTACATACAGATGGGAGAGTAGGGAAAAAAAAATTATCAACAAATTTGCACCCCATCTTGTACACACTTGTACCCTTCATGTATTGATAATATTTTTCTTTTTCTCGTACCTGTATGTAGTTTCCCCAACTATGAACAAGGACAAATCCTAAAATTCATCTCTATGCTCTCTTTACAACCACTCTCAACCACCATCTTTTCCCTTTTCGACCACCACCATCACCACCACTACATTTGACAGACACTCGGCTCATTCCTAGCTCCCTTTACGAGCCTCTAATTGCCCCACCTCATGCCATGAACCCCCCAACTCTCCCTACTCTCCTAGCTTCCCCAGTCTCCTCGTTAACTTCTCTACTAGCCTTCAGTCCATCCCTACTTTTGACAGCCACACCTCAGCTCGTCTCATCGTTCTCCTTTGCTTGCAACTTTCTCTTCCCTTTAAGGTTCTTTATTTTTCTCTTTGTTGTTGGTGGTAAGTAGCAATCGGGGTAGGAAGGTAGAATTAGGATTTGAAAGGGAGGAAAATGAAAGGATGACAGGAAGAGAAAGAGATGAGGTAGGGGCATCGAAAAATCCTAATTTATCCCATAATATTTTAGATATCATCAAAATTAAAACACATGATTAACATTCTTCCCCCTTTGATAATGGCAATACAAGCATGAATTTGAGACAAAATGTTACATGAATAAATGCAACAAAAATATTCAACAATCATAATACATGCATTTATTTGTATTGCATTTTCTTCCCATTTATTAACAATTTTTTTATCAAATAATTTATATATAAATCATAATTCTTCTCCTCCTTTGACACTATCAAAATAAAATATTGATATAAAGATAAAGAAAATTATTTATCTTTTGAAATAAATGCAACATGAAATTTTAAACAATAAATAAATGATGAACAATCATTGTTTGAAGGGTAATTCAAACTATTAAAAATTTAATGGGACCTGAAAGTTTAAAAAATCTTAATTAAGACTTAATGAAGTATAAATTCATAAATTAGGACTTGTGTGTAAATGTTTCTTGATTTTATATGTGTATATATATACAAGAATTTTAAGAATTAAATTTTTTTCCGTCTCTAATAAAATTTTTACAGCAAAAAATATTAGAGGACTAATTTGTATAGTTTCTAAAAGGTCATCTTGAAAAGGTTAAAAAAAAAACTTTTAAGCCCCGTTTGTTTCAACATAAAATATTTTATACAAAAATTATTTTTCTTCTAAATTAATTTTTCATAAAAAAATATTTTTGTTTTTGTTTTGTTTTTGAACATTTGGTTGACACTTGAAATAAATTTTAAAAAAAATTATTGCCTAAATGAGAAATTTTGATTCAATAAAATATTATTTTTGACTTTTTAGTAAGCTAAGATACTTATTTGAAAATGTAGTGAATGAGAATCCGCTTTGTAAAAATTGACTTATGAAAT